CAGCCATTTGAACTTCAAGTTAGCAAGTTGGGCATGATAGATATCTTTGCACCAACTTGAGGGGGAGTGTTGGCAAGATATGATTTGCGGCAAATTAAGAAAGATATGATTTGCTGCAAATTTAGAATGATTTGATTTAATTGATTACAGATTTGAATAAATTTAGGAAAGTCATATCCTAGGATTAAGGGAAAGATTTAATCAATCCCTAATTGAGCGAGATTCTAGGAGTAATTGAGAGAGATTCTAGGAGTTTGTCTCTCCTATCTTTTCTTATTTAAGTTGTAAGCTCAACATGTTTTATCAACACATTATCAATACAGAAGTATTTCTTCTCTCCCTCTTCATTTCTTCTTCTCTTCCTCTTTATTTTTCCACAATAGCCTTATATATCAGTTCATGCATGTACACCGTTTGCTTAGCCATAATATAAAACATGGTTGATCATTTGAGGGGTTTTAGATATGGGGCACCCAAGGGTGAGAATAGATAGGCAGCTTGGGCTCCATCAGATGTTGACTGCCTTTCCACTATCCTTGGTGAGCTTGGATGGTCCAAAATGGGAATTCTATGGTGATTAAATGGGAAATAGTGCTTCTGATGAGAAAGGGAAATGGTGCTTTGATAGTTTCAGAGGCCTGATTTATAGGACACGGCACAAAATCAAGTGCTGACACTTGACATTCCATAACGGGAAATTCAACTTCACTGAACTTTGATATTAATGAATCACTGGCCTTAAGCACATAGCAATGGTCTAGGGGACATACTACCTACCAACTTTAAGGATGAGTTTGCTCGAAAGCACAAAATTGAACAAACAAGGAACAAAGAAAAACTACATAAACTTAACTCTCCATGTCATTATGATTTATGTGAAGAATGGTTAGGATATATTGTAGAATAGTTTTTACTAGAAAGAGAAAGCATCAACATGTAGAGTACTCACCAATAATTCAGACTCTCCTCCCCAGAAATCAGATTTTTCAATGCGTTGGCAGTATCTAAATAAAGGCATTTGAAAATTATATAGCCATTTCTCATCATAAACATCTGTAAAAACCTATGAAGTGGCATTCAAGAAAAAATGAGAATGGTTATACAACTTCTAAAACAGACATGCTCACCGTTTCAGCGATTCGTCTACAGTAATTGCAACCAATGCCTCTTCATACTGACTCCGTTCTTTATCATCATAACATATGACCTCTTTCACAGCCATCCGCAATTCATCTGCATCATGTTTAAAAGAATTATATACTTTCTATGGCAGTTTACAATAATTTAATTTCAATGAGCTGTGTAAAGGGACTTTTTAGTTCCTAGTTGCACATTCCTACAAGAGAAACAGGACCTCCATGCCTTAAACACCTAAAACATTGGAGATAAAGGGGCTTGACTAAATGGTATGCTGATCATCAGAACGACAAAAAAACAGATATAAATGGATGTAATAACAAATGAGGTTACCAAAACTAAAGTTGATATAGATGATAAGACTAGCTAAAAGTTTTCCAGAAAAAGCAAGTGTATGTAGCTTCATTCATCCATCTAAATAATTCCATCTGATGCCCAAAGTTTGATATGAAGGGAAGGTCATCTAACAGTTGCAGATCACGGTAGGCAAGTTATAGAAGAAGGGTGAAGATTAAAGAATATTTCAAGACAAAGTAAAGTACTCATAATATGACACCAAAGAATTAGAATTAGAGAACAGAATACTACAGCTGACTGATGAGAGAACTAAACCAGTGTGAACCATATCCAGCTGCTGAGTGTACAACCAGTTTTGTGGACCTTGTCCTTAGTAAGCCCTCCATGGGGAAACAAAAGAATAACTAAGTGATATATTGTGCGTTGAGATAAGTGGGGGTGTATACACGGCAGAGTGGACAACAATGATTTACGGCAGAAAACATGGAAGGTATGCTTCTAAGGTGTTTTTTTTTTTCCTGAAGGAGTGATCAATTAGCGGTAGTTCAGGTGTCAATTGTCAAAGGAAAGTGTAAGTCGTCTTTGTACAATCATTCACACATGCAGTTCTGAAGAAAAGTTTCTTATTATCATAAAAGCAGAGGAACCTTTTGCTTTGAGGTTGACCATAAAATAGCTTGCTACAACTATTTGCAAGGGGTAAATACCATTGCTTGGAAAATGGCATATTATATATATTCATGCGAAGTAATGCCCAGTATATATAAAAGAACATCCTTGTTTAGACTAGGAGGCGAAGAAAGGAAATAACAACCCCCCCTCCCAAAAAAAAAAAAAAAAAAAGAAAAAAACACTTGACAAGCAAGCAGATTCTTATAATGATGCTTTGCTTTTCAGAGGAAATAAAGCATGAGATGGAATAGGAAAGGTATGGATGAGAAAGATCAGGAATCCCGATTTTTATGTTCATAGACGTGAATATATTGTACAAATTTATTTGCTTCGGTGATTAATCCCAGGAATCCAAGAGTTTCTGAAAGCCCAGAAATGGCCTTCCTCTACCTCTAGGCTCTAGCTTCTAAATCAAGCATTTGTAGGTTTAGTTTCTAAAATCCTGGGAATCATAATTTTGTATGGGAAAGGGCTGTCTACAATCTATGGTTTTTTGTATTTAAAGGTACAACCACGATATAAACAAAACTTATCATCCTAGCACAATTATTACACTCTTACGTTTTTCAGAAAATAAAAAAAAAAAACAAAAAAAAGCAAACACGTAACAGATTTCTGCCTTCCCCAGTGTCCACCATTTAACTATGCTATCAGGATTCCTTTGACTATCAAGATCAACAAGCAAGACTTGAACAAAGAACAAAGCTTTGCATAAGATCCTGTAATAAGACTCCAGTGGCAGTTCTTTAATCAGCCTGAATAAAATAAAAATAAAGGAAAAATATGTCTCAAATATTTCTGGGAAGAAATAAGAAGAAAAGAAGAGAAAAGGGAAGAGGAGAGAAAGAGAATTAGGGCTGAAAGCAGAGGAGATTGAACCAGACAGATTTCCTAACTGCCGCCCATATTTATTTAATCTCATATTATGAATTGCAATTACAAAAATACCCTCGCTTAAGTAATAAGAGAAAAAAAGTTATGCCCAGACACTAAACTATACATAAATAACTTCTAAAAGTTCCAACTTCCCAAGTTGTGTATAACCAAAGGTTAGATATAAAGTTTATCAATAAATGGACACCCTTCTGAATCTACTCAATTTAAAATGTGTAGTTGGAGTTATTGTGAGTGATCAAGTGATTTCAACCATTCAACAACAAGATTCTAGAATACAGATTATGGCTTATGTTATAGTGGATAACCATCTCATGATGTTACTCTTGATAACCATAAGGTGTACAACTCTGCAGATTTTATGTGAAGGCATTGGCAAAAGATTTTATGTGGAGGAGAAGCTACACTGAATATATCAAGAACAAACTCCTAGATACTATGTATAATAATCTCTGCAACAAGTTCATTCAGATGGCCAACAACATAATAGATTCCTACACATTGAAATAGGAAAGGCTACAGTAGATGAAGCAATTAATAAGTGATAAAATGATAACTACTATGACTTAATATTCGATTGGTGCAGCCAGCACATTGACCAAAGTCAGTCTCTATGAAAATCAGTGATACAATTTGTTGAGGGCCCGAGAATAGGATCTCGTCACGGGTCGGTCCATGGGGAAAACCTCATGTTTTCCCTTGTTCCTTCCTGTTCGTGATGAACCTATCTTGGTGCCTTTGGTGATTTGTCCAAGAGATCACCAACTCTCCTAACTCACTCGTTGACTGAATAATTTGATGATTTCATTCAATAAGGGTGTCTCCTTAAATAGGAGATTACAAGAGTCCTAATCTGAGGGAGTCTCCTTGTTGAATAGGGAGACTTCTAGTTCTAT